AGATAGATATATATAGATTTACTATATAACAATAAGTTTCTTAAACAGCATTAAATAGATATAGATTTACTATATAACAATAAGTTTCTTAAACAGCATTAGATAGATATATATAGATTTACTATATAACGATAAGTTTCTTAAACAGCATTAAATAGATATAGATTTACTATATAACAATAAGTTTCTTAAACAGCATTAGATAGATATATATAGATTTACTATATAACAATAAGTTTCTTAAACAATAATAACTACATTAGATAGATGTTAAAGACACGGCACAGGAAGCTTTGCATGTGACAATTCTGCTTTCAGAGCTTACTAATTTGCTAAGCAGACCCAATCTTGTCAAATGTTTTTGGGCTAAAGGACAAAAACACTGCTAAAAGTGAGAATACGGAATTGATGATGGCCACAGAAGCTTTTTGTGTTTACCTGTCAATTATATTTAAGGCTAATTATTAGTAATTGTTATTGGTATTGAAGAACTTTAGCAGTTCTTCTGGTAGAAGTTAATTCACAATTGGCATTATTACAGGTGAGCTGTTTAGTGCCTTGCTTTTAGTGGACTATATGTCACTGGGGGTATTGGATACAGATAGGGTTGTGATGTCTGTTACTAACTAGGTGTACACTGATATGATTATGAGCATTTGTTTCAGTCTCAGAGCCTGTATACTAAATTGTGGCAAGCCAGAATAAACGGACAGTAGAATTTTGTGTGTGTGTTTTGGATGACGACTAGCCTTGTCCAGATGTTTAAACTACCATACCATTGGTTTGGAAACAGTTCCACATTCTGCTAGGTCACCCATACCTCTGGAACACACAGAGATCTATTTGCTTTCTGGAGTTTTTCTAAGCCATTTTTTGGGCATTAAAAATTCACATTATTTACTGCTGGAGTGATAAGTTCACATTGTACATTTGTTCCTTTAACTCACATACTAATTTTAAAAATTACAGACCAGTTAATTAATATACAAACTGTCACTTTGTGGAATATTAAGGCAATACATGAACAAATATGTTTCTAAAGGGAAAATTACTGACCAAACTGAATCTTTCAAAGGCAAGTATGGAATATTATGTATGTTCATGCATACCTCTGCCTATCCTGCTTTGTTTTTTCAATTCTAAAGAAAAGTAATCAATGTTTCAATTTGTATACATTGTGACTACCATTTCATCAGACAATTTTCTCTAATAAAGGAACACGATAATGTAATGGCAAATAATGCATTAGATCAGAAAGACACAAAAGTTGGTTGTAATCTTTATTCTTTTTGTTTTATAAATTTGCCCTTAAGTACAAATATGTCTGTCATAAAATTAACTGAAATAAAACACTTTTAAGATTTTCAATAAAAAATTTTTTGAATTAATAATATATGCTAAACATGAATGTTATACTTTATGAGATCTACAGATTTTGTATTGTAATACATGACTATATTGTTCACATCAATGTCAAAATTATAACTTACAAGACTGAATATAATTCAGAATTTATTATATTTAATGTTTTCGTTTGTAACAAAATATCTTTAATTATTCAAAACAATTTCCAGAAATTTCTTGTATACCAACTTTCATTATATTATGTCTCCTATTGTTCAATTTAGGCTCTCTCAAAATAATTTGATAGATAAAAGTAATGCAGGAAGAAACAAAAATGGCTGTTTTATGTAATTCTGAACAAATGGGTGAAAAAATGCACACCTTTAAAGTAAATTGCAAAAAATGTAAAGCCTACATCTATACATATTCTTTTAAATCTTCTGTCATTGCACTTAAGGAATTTGTACCTACAGCTTCAAAAGATATTTAGTTATTGGTTGGCTGTTCAATCTTGATTGGGAATACGCAGACAAGGAAATTTCAGATCAAGAACTATCATTTTGTTTCCAGCTCCATCTAACATTTTTGTTACTGTATTTGGACAATTTGGTTAGATAGTCAATTAGAAAATTTGAGATTGCTTTTATCTGTTCAATTTTGAAGAAATTGAAAATAACAGTTGGGATGAAAATAGCAAAAAAGTTAACATTTTTCTTACACTGAAAATGTATTTCGGATAGGTACTTACCTTCATCTGCCCTCTAAGCATTACTAAAAAAAACTATGATAAGCATACCAGTCTTTATACCCAATCAATTTCAGGTCATTTCTGAACATGTATATATCATGTGACTACTCTCTACCGTAGTATTGCTCCACCTATAATGGCAAAGTTAGCTCCCTCTGCTATTTCCGCTCAATCTTCATTTTCGACAATTTGCAGGTTCTAAAAGAAGAACACTGGCTGTAGGGAGGAAGTGTGTGAAAGGAGGTAAGTACCATATTCAACATAAGAAAAATTTTAACTTCCAATACTGTCTTACCTCCCCTCACACAAAGCTAGAACTCTATATTGCAAAGGTAGAGGGGCCAATTTAGGTGCACAACACAGAAACCAAGTGGAAAGTTACCACCTAGAATGAATGGTGTACTCCAAGATGAACAATGCACACATGTGGGGTACTGCACTACTTCTGGAACAGGTATATTCTTCACCCTTGAAATAAGAAATGAATTTGATACGGGTGGATACATATACAACCTCAACTGAACAGACAAGATTTCATAACTCATCCTCAGCATTAGGAGGACATGCACAAATGCATTTTGTTCTGAGAGGATCAATCCATATGAGAATATAAATAGAATTAGCTATGTACATATACAATATCAACCAGATAGACGACGTTCCATAATTCATCTCTGGCATTAGGAGAATGTGAACAAATGCAATTTGTTCTGAGAGGATCAATCCATATGAGAATATAAATAGAATTAGCTATGTACATATACAATATCAACCAGATAGACAAGGTTCCATAATTCATCTCTGGCATTAGGAGAATGTGAACAAATGCAATTCAGTTTGAGAGGTGTAATCCATAGTAAAATATAATTAGAGTTAACTATGTACATACACAACCTCAACTAGACAGACGAGGTGGTTCCATAACTCATCCTCAGCATTAAGAGGATGTACACAAATGGGCAGCATAGGTCTTAAGGAGGAAGGACTGGTCAGGATAGAGGATGACATAGGAGGAATTGTAGAGGATGAAGGTAACATTAAAGGCATAAATATCTGAACAACGATGACCACAAGCAAGGAGGAGAAGGAAATAGGTCTAAAGGGAAAGATGGTATATTGAACACATAGATAAAGGTTCAAATGGAACAGAAAAGGGAAAGATGAAAACTTCTGAAATTTGGAGAAATGGAGGTGTTTGACAAGGTTGCTCAATAACTAGACAAGGTCAAAGCAGACAATCTTTGTCAAACAAACAGGTTATGAATAAGAAAGAATGAGGAATGGAAGGGTGAGAAGGACCGAAATATCGTCGAAGAGGTATACTGTCACTTGTGGTAAACAGACGTGGAAATATGTCTAATGGATCGGGAAAGGAAAGATGCAACATGTGGAGTCAGTCCATGGGCTGAGACAATGGACCTGACCAAAGCCATACATGAAGACAGAGAGTAGTGACATCTGGATGAACAATGTCCAAGGGAATGCATATGAGCCTGCCCCATGAGAATGAGAGCTTCCAAGGAAGCTCATATCCCTAAAGAGATAGAACATTTTGAGCTGTAAGAAAAGTGAGGTGAATAATATATATGTACTGCTTGCTCCAAACCCAAAGATGAAGAAGAGAAGGTTGGGCCCAACTGAGGATTGAAAAAGAAAACTTTCCAAATGAACAGGGTATTGAGAGGGGGGTAAGAATGGACTTCCCAACTGTCATCAGGAATCCCATCTTTGCTGCTTCCTCTAGAGGCAGAGGAGCATGGTCTCTGGATTATGAACAGGAGGAAGTAAGCAGGAATCAGTCATCCAAAGAAAGAAGAGTGCAAAGACACTTAAAGAGTCTAGGTTAGTCCAAACATTAAGGTCCCAATTGGAAAAATCAAGTTGAACAATAAATAACTATAGACAAAGTGGGCACTATGAGGAAGAACTTTGAATTGTAGATTACGAGGATTTGTTTGTCTGTAGTTAGGCAAAAAAAGCAACACAACGGGCTATCTGTGCTCTGCTCACCATGGGTATCGAAACTTGTTTTCTAGCAGTATAAGTCTGCACTGGCGGTAAGATTACGAGGAGAAAATGAGGTTTCTAGTATCACAAATACAGGAGAAGGAGCCAAACCCAAGCTCAGACCTATGAACAGGGAATAAACGAACACATCAGCAATGTAACATAGCAAAAAAATTAAGTCCTACAATGACAAAAATTAGGGTGATAAGGCACATAGTTAACAATTACGAAAAAAAATATTCAGATAGAACAGTGAATTATATATTACCAGTAGTAATAATATGTAATTTACAAGTTCTATAAATATACCTAGTTAACAAAGTACTTATAAATATCAAATGGAGAAACCACCTAAATTTATCTAGTTCACAAAGCAATAATAACGAATGTGCAAACCAACAAAAATTACCTAGAAAACACATTAATAGTCAATATCTAACTTACAATTCCTCTAAATTAACCTAGACTACAAAAGACAACTAAGTCCTACATTGACGAAAATTAGGATGATAAGGCACCTTGTTAACAATGAAGAAAAAAATTACTCAAATAGAACAATGAATTAGATATTACTGAGAGAACTGGAAGCAAAAGGAATAAAGGAGAAGAACAATTCTCTACCAAGATGAATGACATGGCAGCACAGCAACTGGTAGAAGGTGAAAATTCCTGAAGAGGTGGAGTGTGTGAAAGACCAAAATAAGAAAGTGCTGGGAAAAGAGAGTCCAAATTTTCTTATCACTGATTGTATTCTTTCTCAGAAACATTGTCACGTTGAAAAGAAGAAGACTGGTTTGGTTTGTTTGGAATTTTGTGCCAAGCTACTCGAGGGCTATCTGCACTAGCCATCCCTAATTTATCAGTGAAAGACTAGAGGGAAGGCAGTTAGTCATCACCACCCACTGTCAACTCTTTGGCTACTCTTTTACCAATGAATAGTGGGATTGACTGTCACATTATAATGCCCCATGGCTGAAAGGGTGAGCATGTTTAGTGGGAAGGGGATTCTAACCCACGACCCTTAGATTATGAGTCAATTGCCCTAACCACCTGGCCATGCCAGGTCTAAAGAAGAAGAAACTGCCAACCAAACATATGAATCTAACTCCCTGTGAATTAAGGCTTGTACCTCCTCTGCAGATAAAGTTGAACCCAATTCTTGGGAAGTCATACCAGTAGGGTTTTTGACTGTAACAGGAATTTCTTAGTTGATATATTGTTCGTAAATTCATAATAAGACCTCTTGTAAAATCGGTAAGAAATAAATGTAAAAAAATTTTCATACAAGTGAATGGAAACACAGTAAAATAAAACTGTTAAAAAAAATCAAAATGTCAAAGAAGCACATTCATAAATGGTAGCCATATGCAAAAAAACACCTATCTTAAGAATGCTGTGCCACTTGAGAACGTGGGGATTGAGCAGGAATAACAGTAGGATCTAGCTGCACTAATATAGGTAACACGATACTATTGGTGGAGAGTAGTCACATGATATGGATATGTTCAGAAATGTCACAACATTTATGGAGTACAAAAACTGGTGTGCTGATTATGAACATTTGTTTAGCAATGCTTAGAGGGCAAATGAAGACTGAAATAGCTCTGTGTGACAGAAGGTAAGTAACTATCACAAAAACATTAACTAAAACTGATTGATTGACTTTCTTTATACTTAGTTTATTTGAAAACAATTATTTCAATACATCATTTAACATTATCCTTATACCTCATTATTGTAGTTAACAATTGTTATTCATTGTCAGGTTATGTTTTCACAACACAAAAATATTTTTTATGGCATTGAATATGATACACAGGTACATTGTTCTTAAATTGTGATGAAACTTCCTACTTAGATCTTTCAAATTTAACATTTCATTAGTAAATTTAAAACTGCTATAAAATTTTTAAAATTTTTTTAAATCTTTTTAAAATTTTATTCAATTTTTTTAAAATAACAACTAACATTTTTCAATTACTAGAGTTCACGTACAGCAACACATTCTGTTGCATGCAGTAGTGTGCTGTATACAAGCAAATGTTTATAAACTATCAACCACGTTTAAGCTTAGTTTGTTGAAAAGTTACTTATATACAGATATCTATCTTAATAGAGTAGAATCTTATTCAAAAAATTCAGTAAAATAAGAATAAAGCAAAGCATTTCCTGAAATAAAATTAAGAAATACTGGTGCTAATCCTACGTGCATCGGTGAAAGGTCAAAATGATATTTACAGAGTGCCATGAAACATGGTATTACATATTTGATGTCAAAGTTATCAGCTATTCATTTTACCCTACAATTATTGACTTAATGAAACTTTGTGGCAGAGGAGAGTAAATACCAGATACAATATATAGATACTGAAAACAACAACTGTAGATATGCACTTTGAAACTTTCAGAGGTTTGCAAATGCAATATGCAAACTGTACTAATACTAAGGACAAAAATGTTATTTTTCCCCAAGAACATCACCTTGCACTCCAATTTATCAGGGTCTGTGTCAGACTGATATTGGCAATTCAAAAGACATATATTGAGTACATTTGTAATGCATCTGAGTTTTTCTGTGCAGCAGACTTATATGTCTGACTAAAAGCTTGCCACATTTCTTGTAGATACATATAATATATTTGGAATTATAGTCAACATTAATAATCCAATATGGTGTCATTCCATTGCATATTAGTTTAATCAGGAATTTGTGTAATACTTTATCACAATAAGACCAATAATAATTGTAATTACATCTTTGGAATTATAGTCAACATTAATAATCCAATATGGGGTCATTCCATTGCACATTAGGTTAATCAGGAATTTGTGTAATATTTTATCACAATAAAACCAATAATAATTGTAATTACATCTTTGGAATTATAGTCAACATTAATAATCCAATATGGGGTCATTCCATTGCACATTAGTTTAATCAGAAATTTGTGTAATATTTTATCACAATAAGACTGATAATAATACTAGTCCTATAAAGGTTTCATTAAGAAAAGTGTATAATAGCATTTCAACTGTATACTTTGTGTGTTGTGTGCTGCTGCTGCCCAGGCCTTTTGTTTAATACCAGAGATCATCAGACATTGGCCAACAATCTTACGAAACACCCCTGGGACCTCATTGCACTAATAGAAGAACTGAACTGCATCCTATAATACTAATTGAACAGTACACAGTCACACTGCATATTTCATGTTGCTGCCAATGAGGCCTTCTGATAAATATCATAGATCATTAGGCATTGGTCAGCAATCTTGTACATTACAAAATACCTGCAAGTCTTCCTTGTTATCTTTACTTACAACACGATGTCAGAAAGCTCAACAGTGCACTAACAGAAGAATATAACTGCATCCCCCATTTATTTAATACACAGAAATACTTGGTAGCTCTTGATAAATTAAAAATAAAAAAAGATATTTCTTAGTTTGTATGCTCAATCGGTATAATATACTTGAAAATTTATATTTTATTGAAACAATTAATCACATGGCAAACATGAATGCATGTCTCTTCCTCAGTCAGTTTTCACTTTCTATTATATATTATATTGTGAAATGTGGTTAAAGTAATTCCTATTTTATACTTTCTCAATTTTCACTTATGTTTGTTGTACAGTATTATTTGCATATCTACAAGTAAATCCAAGTAAATTTTCAATGGCAAACATTTTGATAACAAATACTTTATTTTTCTGAAAGACTACAAACCAGAGAAACATATATTTACTTTTGGAATTGTAAAAGGATATGTAGAAACTCCTGAGAAGGTTCTAGGATGTAGAATTGTAAATAAGGCACAAAAAAATCAAGCCTAGTTGATACTGCTAAAGTGGAGTTTCTGGATTCTCTCGTTCATTCTGAACCTTTATAGCCAGTTACAACATAGTATGTCCTCTAATGTAATTACAGGAAACAATTACTACTGACGTTTTTATAGACTTAGCAGTAAATACTTCAGGTTTGTCTAACTAAATAAAATAATAGGTACTATTTTTCAGCTGTTGTATGATTTTGTTAGCTACAAAAATACAACAAATGATGTACTATTTCTTACCTTTGTATAGTTTGGGTAGCTACCAGAAAGGACATAAGACTTCCAGGAGATAACTCATTTGAAGACATAAGGGACCCTCCTATGTACATCACACCTAAAACTATTCCTGAAAAATATGAACAGATGTGATTAACACATTCCTGTCCAGCACAAGTATACAGAGAACCAGATAGAGCTCATGGGCAGACTTTCACATTCCAGTTATAATAACCTGTATTTCATACAAGGTTTTACTGTTACTCACCACACTAATGTTAACATGTAGGTATTTCAAAACTGTAAAAGTCTAGAAACATAGTATTTTTAAATTTTAGTTCTAATTTGAAACGTTTCCATAAGTTATCTTTAGAATCAATTATTTAACAGATTTTATGCTAGTGGAAGGTAATGGAATGTTTCTAGCTTAGTATTGGTATTTTTATTCTATTTATTAATAAACCTGTTTCATGGTCTATATACATTACTTTTAGATTTCTTTCACACTAAATAAACAGGGAAGAATTTCTTTAAGTATGTGCTATAAATCTATTTCTTTTAAATTATTATTACTGTATAAAACAATTTTTCTTAAAAGTTAAACAAAATCTTGTAAACACCTAGATTATTCACACAAAATTGTAGCAAAAATATTATTAATGTCCAAAAAATTAACAAAAACTATCGTTGAAGTATTGCCATAATTAAAACTTGGCGTACTCTGTAATTTCGTATTATATTTTGAATCTTCTCATATGACTTGTGAGTCTTGAGAAAATAATCATGCTTCAGCAAGTTTCAAAATAAATAAAAAGATACTTTAAAGCTTCAGTTAGTTCAGAAAATACTAAAAGTAACCTTGACATTCATTTTATTACTTCAAATCTTATTCATTTTGGATAAACTGCCAAGTATTTATAATGATTCTACAATAATATCTTAATTCTTGGTCCAATTATGTGGTTATGAAAAATTAAAAGCATTTTATTAATAATACAACTTATTAAAAATTTTAATGTTTTTTTTACAAATAAAAATTAAATTTTTGAAATACTGATGATTTAAACTATCAGGACTTTCAATAACATGTGATAATTAATAATGAACAGTATCACTAATCATTTGTCACAAATGACAAAAAGTACATGATCTCAAACAATAACACTTGCTCACAAAAAAAAAAAAGAAACCAATTACTGATTGATAAAGAAGAACAAAATAATCACCTATCATTTTCAGTTTCTTTATTTCTTAAGCAAAAAACTACATAATGGGTTATCTGCACTGTGCCTACCATGGCTATCAGAATCCAATTTTTATAAGCCCTCATGCTTGCTACTGAGATACTATGAAACATTACTCTTAATATGTTGTAAAGATGTCCTACAGAAATCCAACACCACACTAACATCTATAAAGCAGGTCTGTGTTCGGTTTACTATTTTTTTTTGCACACTTATACAAAGGTACTTTACTGTGTTTCAGAAAGTTTTCTTTAGATATAAGCAAGTAAAACATTATAAATCCTAGTGTTTGCTATTAGATATACAACTCTGAATCTAAACATTTATATATCACTATGCTTTAGTTTGTTTCCTTGGATTTCTTTTTCTTGTGTGACAAGTCAGAATATAATGAACTTGGTCTAGTCTGAAGTACAATCCCATGGCTTTCAACCATATTTAGTGTTGTGAAACTGACCCTGAATAACTGACAATAAAACACACTGAATGATACACAAGTTATATACAAACTTGACAATAATGCCTCAAGAATGAGACATTATAACAATTACAGGTGAATGGCTTCTACTAACAACAAAGATAGTAAGGATTAATAATTATAATAAAGTTATCATTACATTACATAAAAGAACAGTAAAAACCATCATCATTAGATAATTTGAATGCAGGAAAACATCATAACAATAAAACTAAAGATACTGTATGAGCAACTTAACCCATCTGGAAGATGGAGAAACATGCATTTTATTGTTTATTTGTCTCCATAATGAAGGCTTCAGTCTAAAAGTTCAGGTTTCAAGTAATTGTTTATTTCTGCATTATCAGCATTTTGCTCAAGAGTGTGTTACTGAAACTTTTTCATCTACATATAAGTTACAGGATTGAACAGAGCTGGCACTAATACTACTTTATACTCTAACTGCCTGCCTTAATCATCTACAATACCTACAAATCAAGGATGGAAATAAGTACTAACAATCTTACAGTTAACAACATACTCATTTCATAATAAGTTCCAAAACACAATAAATTTTCAATAACTAATAAAAAAAATGGAAATATAAAGATAAAGTGCACAGATAGCTTAATGTGCCATTTACTTAACTAAAATGGCTCTAAAGAGTTGAGTAACAGCTAGTTGGATACAAATGCACTTAAAAAAGATCAAAAATCTGCTCTGAGTGAGCTACAGACCTTAGTTGTGCTTACATTTTGTGATCAATGCTCAATCAATAACAGAACTCAAGTTTTCTTTTTAACATACTCTACATGTACATGATCCTATTAACCCGATGACTACTGGCTACTAACTTTCTTAGTAGGCAATGCAAGTGTGAGGGCA